TTTTCGCCGTTTTCAAACATTTCTGCGCCGATTTTTCTTTCTTTGCGACCACAAAAATTGTGTATGAACTGCTCGCCTTTTTTCTCCGTCCGTCCGTTTTTGTTTACATTCTGCGGTCGCGAGTAAATTACACCCATGTATTTTATGTAGAGCTGGAAAAAAGAAAGGATTCCTTTGCTCGAAATTGAAGTTTTGGAGGAGTCCTGCTTGCTGGATTCATGAGACGGGAGAGAATTCGAGCCGTTTGTCTTTTATTAACTCGGAGAAGCACACACACAGGAATGACACTTTTTGCCACTTTTCTCGAGGGAAAATGTGCGAAGCGGTTATCTGACCGGATTTTTGCCATTTGACCTCACTCGCCAGTCGGCGGCGGCCATTCCAGATCCGCGCTAAAAGCTTTGGCTTGTCATTGTACACTTCTATCAGTTCGTTAATTTATCTAGGCGATAAAAAGGCAGCTAACTTCGCAATTTATATAATAGAGTCTAGGAATTCCCTTTCTTGCTGATAAAAATGGGCCGCACTGAAGCAGAAATGGAATTATTTGAAAAAGTCGCAAATTTAAAATACTAAACTGCCACCTTTTAATGACTTTTTAATAAAGGTAAAAAAAGGAACATCATGAATAAATTTCATGTTCAAATAAATGAATGTTAAAATTTTTGTAAATTTAAAAGACCCCGCTTAAATTGCTATTTTTAATTCCCATCAATTTCTAATATGGAGTATGAAGGGATTTTATTTGCAAAAAAAATCAAATCACCTAATAGAGTTTTCCCAAGCATTGCAACACATGTGAGCCTCTTGCCGTACCATAGCAATTTTCGCAAATATTACGCGCGCAAATTGAATTTCGCCGGCGCGACGCCTCAGATTTTTCCCTTCATTCCTGGGCGAGCAAGAAAGAAACTTTGACAATCGCACACGGCCCATAGCGCGCCGCACAATCTCTCTTACAACTGGTGCAAGAGTCAAGGGGCGTCGTTCGAACCACTGCAAAACATCCGCAAAGGAATTGTGTCTCTCCATACATACGAACGAATTTGCAAAAAAAAAATATTTATTCGCATTATTACGCATTCACACAAAGCTGCGCACGCTCTCTGGAATATATGAAAATATTAGGCGCGGCGTCGCATTGCCGCTGTTGCTCCGTCATACTAGCTTATTTTGGTGTGTCGTTTAAAAAAATTATACAGTCTCGCAAATTCTCGTGTAAAACGCAGAAGGGGACACTACTACTTTTCAGTTCCTCCCTCCGTCTTGCATAAATAAATTATTAACTTTTTTGTGCTGCTGCGCCTCCACTGGCTTCATTTCAAAAGGCACGCACACCAAACGTGGCCATTTACAATTCAAATGTTTTGCCAGCGCTCTCACTTTAGATTGCAAGTAATATTCGTTTGATTTGTCGATCCTCTCTCTCTCCTGCCTGCTGAAAATAAAAGTAGAAAAACTCCTCTGTTTCAATTTATATGGCAGAGCCGTCTCGCACAAAAGAACCAATCAGCTGCAGCACTTCTTGCTGCTTAAATACTCTTTTCCCCGGCCAGGCAGCGTAATCGAATTTCCTCTTTTATTTCTCCTTTGACTGCTGCATGACGAGAAACGCTTCCATCAAATATACATTATTTGCACAACTGGAAAAAGAGACGGCCGATCAAAGTTTTAATGCCGGCTGTGCTCTTTTGTTTGCTTTTTGTGCGCGCTCGCTTTTTCGCGGACCGGCACAGAATTCAATCTTTTTCTCAAATGGCGCACCAAGACGGAGGAAAAGAGGAGGAAATTTCTAAAAGCACTCAATTTGATCGGTTGTGACATTTCCTTTAAATTCAAAATTGAAAAAATGGTATGTATACTTTTCCCCAAAAGATAATTTTGAATAAAATTTAATAAATGGCAAAGATCGATTTTTTTAATCGTCTCCATCTCAAACCATTTTTGCCAATTACTTCAAGGCCAGCCGAAGAATGAGGATTAATTGTGTCGTTCACAAGGCGGCAGAAAAATTCCGTCCATTTTCATTTTCTCGTTGTCAGGCGCAGGCGAAATTCCAATCGTGCCGATGGCGTATTAATTTGCGCGTCACGGACGTCTTCTATATATTGAAATTCGGGCGTCTGGACGAGCTCTCGCAAAATCGGCTGCGCGCATGTGACCCTCTTTTTTTTCGAGACGGATAACGCGCGTCAAAGGAGCCGCCCTGACCCGCGTATAGGATGTATTAAAGAAAATCGGGGCTCACCTGCTTCAAAGTTGAAAGCGCGCCGGGCAGAATGCAAAAATAGCATTCTCTTTGTGGCTTAATTTGGCTGATTATTCAAAACACACACACAAGCCACAGACGTGCTGGCTGTTGTGCATGCGAGACTGTGCGGTGCTCCGCTGGTCAAAGAACTCTCGCGTCGGAGCGAAAAACTTGTGCGCCAAAGCCACACTTTATACTCTCTTTGAGACGAACGCCGGCGACGAGCACCTCAAAGAAATTTTCATTGGCAAAGGGAGAAATTATTAATAATTGACTCAAAGGAAAGGTAGATTTTTTTATTATTCATATCAAAATTTAATATTTAACCGGTGTGAGACAAAGAAGAAGTTTGCAATCGCTATATATATAGAAAAATAATCCACTCAATTTAATTTTTCAAAAATTTTCTTATGTATGTGATTTGTCAGCCTTTTCCATTATTCTCGAGATTTTCCTACATTTAATCCGGTTTAGTAACTTTTCATGCATTTTGCCCATTTTTTTTGGTTTTAATTCCAAGACGTGTATATTTTTCTGACTGACGCCTGCCAATTTCGTCTAAATCTTTTGACATTTGAGTCGCTTGATAAATATTTGCTCGGCTGACGTCTCCGCGCCAGTGGCAGCAGATGCGATGCAGTGAGGGGGGCGTTCGTTCAGGAAAGCCTCGATTTGGCCCTAGATCACAGAAATGGGGTGGCTTCTGCGCCCCGGCATTATACCTTTTTATATTTTATATCGACCACGTGCTGCAGAATATATGATCGGAATTCGTGATGTGCGGCAGCGGTGTGGTTGGTGCGCGCGCCAAACAGCCCGCGCCGAGCCAGCAGCGCTCCAGAGAGACAACTTTGTATGGGGATGCTTCGGGCCATAATAACTGGATTCTCGCAGAGCAGCCGAGCCGAGCCGACCACGCCCCTGCTCATTTTGCAAATAAAACTTGGGGCAACGCGATCCGCAGTTAAAGGGCCATAAACTCTGCGCCAGGGTTTTCCGTTTTCGTTCGACCAAAAGGGGTCTTTCGTTATTTTTTTTTTCGTCTCGCTACTGACGTTTGGCGTCGCGGCAAATGAGCCGGAAAGTTAATTCAATTTGCGTTTCAACATACCGGCCAAATTATTTAATTCGCTCCATTGCGCTCTGCCTCTTGCCTTGTGAACTGTAAAAGTGATCACTCGTACTTTGATTCGCCGCGTCCAATAACGTTTCTAAAAGAAGAAGCCAAATCGGCGACATTTTATTTTCAAGAAGTCACTTCAGCGAAATATTTGAGCCCCCTTAAAAATAATCTTATCGATATTGACTTTTAATTCAAAGATATAACTGGAATAAAAATATCTGCATCGATTGAATAAAAAAGTAATATTGAATGTTGCTAAACTTCGTTGAAGACAAAATTACTCCAATAATCTACGTTTTTTCATCGATCGAATTTTAAAACTTTTACATTCTAATTTTCCAGTTTGAAGCGACACTCAAAAACTAAACAGCAGCATCAATTGCATTCTAAGAAAATCATTCTTCCGCAAGAAAGACCAAATATAAAAAAAAAATAATAGTGCGGTTCACGTTATCAAATTTCACGCGCAAAATCCGCTCCAATTTTTCACGCTTGGCGAACTGTGCAGGAAAATCATGCACTCGCCCAAATAGAATTCGGCGCCAAAATCGTGGCGGGCGTTTTTGTCCCTCTTTGCATATGCACATTTATTCCGGCACTTATTTTAGCGGAAGAGCCTTTCCGAGGCAATTTTCTGCCATCTCTCGGGCTGCCTCCTTTAACAAGATCTCTCGTAATGAAACGCTGTGTCCCTTTCGCTCCAATTTCCAGAGAGCCTAGTCCCACTTCTGGCCGGCCGCCGAGTCTCAGAGCTTTCTGAAATATAAATATTGCAGTCGCAGCAGCAGCCGAGAGCAAAGGGTGTTGTGTTTATTCTCTGCTCTCGGAGGAAATGGAAAATGAAATATAACACTGGCACGAACGCAAGCCGCCTTTGACTTCTTTCTCCGGCCATTCGCCGCCGACGACGACAATGGGGTTTTTGTATTATACGCTCGCTGCCTGCCTGTTTTTGGCAAAATGCAATAAAGGAATGGGAGAAGTGCTTTTTTATGTAGCAAAAAGTAATGACGTATCAAATTGTGTTTTATTATGACTTGTCGCTAGCTCGCGTGTGTAAAAGGTTGGCGCAGAGACACAGTTTTTTTTTCTACGCGAGAGCATCAGCAGGTGAAAGGGGAGGAAACTGCGAAATAAGATTTTATTTTTCCTAAAAGGCGCGGAGATGAGGTCCTTCAACGCTCGAAATAGCAAGAAGGCTTTTGTGAAATTAGATTATGATGTTTTGGTCCCCTCAAATGAAGTGAAAAAATTCAAAAGGATTCTAGGAATGTTCTTTAAAACAACTTTTTGTGCTTCTTCATGATAGTATTTAAGAAATCTGACGCATAATGATTTTAATTGCAGTATTTCGTTATGAACATTCATTATTATTTCCAATTTTTAAAAACTTGTTTAGAAGTGTTTTTTGTCCTAAAAGAATAAAAAAAACTGCTTGATGCAGAAAGATTTTCACAAGGAAGCAGATTTGCTATTCTTTTCTGCTCGTCAAGAGCGCAGTTCTGCAAACTAACAATTGTTCTTAGAAAACTGGAAACCGCTCCTGAGGGCGTCACTCGAGTCAAGAGGCGAAGTCTTTTTGTCCGCGCGCAAGGCACTAAATGCATTCATAATTTTTGTACTCACTGCTGACGGAGCGAAATCCTCCGAGACGTCTCCTTCTGCGGAAAAGCGCAATAATCCGGTACTCACCTGAAACAAAAAAAGAAAACGGAAAATTATAAAAGAGAAAAAGGCCGGTTGGCTTCGTCACTTGCGGGGGTTGGCACTTCTGCTGCCCATATTGCAGCAGCCACGTGTGAGTGAATTAAACAGAGAGGAATCAATAAAATAGGCCGGCCCGGCAGTCAGTCAGTTCGGTCGGTCGCTTCGAGTGACATTAGACAGGCCGTGTGATGGATCGCCGCAGCCAGCCAGTGAGCAGACGTGCAAGATTCCAATCAAAGGCATTCCGCGTGAATAATGTGAATAACAGCACGGCCTGCTGCTTTTTCGGAGCGAAAACTCCTCTCGGGCGCCATAATGGCTTTTCAACGCTCAACCAACATCATTTTATATTTTTATATATATTTATGTATTTATTTAGGACAGGGGAAAAACAAGGGGCCATTATATATAAATTTGTGTAATAAATAAAGTTTGCTCTATGCTGCCGCGGGGTGTTTGGTGCCAAGGCATATTTTGCATAAATTTTTCCCGCTTGCCGCGCCGACCGCTCTCTCGAACAAATTGCGCATTGATCATTCGAATAATGTGCAGGGAAAATTGCAGCCGTGAATTACGTGTGCGCACATACACGCGGGGTGAACTATAATGCATCGAGAGCGCGTTGTTTTCTGCCGATGGCATCTATTGTCCTCGCCATGAACACACACGTACATAAAATATGCATGCCCGCACGCGAGCTAAAGGTTTTCAAGAGCGCGATGCGTGATTTTTCGCATACCTGACGATGACAGGGCTCGATTTCGTTCATGTCATTTTAATTATTCATACAGTTGGAATGCACGAAACAAAAACGCCAAATGAAATAGTAAAAGTTATAAAAAATATCATCAAAACTCGTCTTTTTTTAGTTTCTACACTTTACAGCAAGATGCAAAATTTATTAATTATTTTCCTTTATTTTATAAGATATCAGTTAAAAAATTCTAATTTATTTTTATAGCCACCTAAAACTTGGACTTGATGTAAGATGTTGTATATTTCATATTTGTACCTGAATGAAGAATAAATCAATGAAAAATGCAGTTAAATTTGAGGCCTGTTTATTTAGTTACTTTATTTTGTAGAATTTTCCACTTGAATGTTTTTAATTAAAAATAATAATATAATTTAGTAACTTGTTCATCTCCTTCATTTAGTAGAATTCCGTTATTTTTATAGTTAGGAAGAAAAAAATGCACATTTTAAAGTTCCCCTCTCTTGGAGGACACTTTGCTATTATTTTTTAATTTCAAGCCTTCCGCTGAAAAATGCGGCGTCCCTGACACGGTTTGGAATTCGCGTTGCACTCGTTAGTCGGAGACGCAAATGGAATTGCTCAATTTTTCCGCGAAGCCATTAGAGGCAGCATCTTGATCCACTCTAAGACAATAATTGAGTGCTAAACGCAGACGATTACGGGCCGTTTCGCATTCCGCGCCGTGCAGATCAATCGACCTTGGGAGCGAAACTCGAGCGAAAATAATGAGATACTAGTCAATGACCTATGCTACTGTAAACTGCAGAGTATACTTTGGTTTCAAAAGCGACGCGGATGCCTGAAATAGACATGGCGCACAGGTGCGCTCAGAATAGAAGCGGCGGCGCGGCCGCTTTTTGCAGCGTCGCCTCCTCAATCCTCGATCCGGATTCCGAGTGAGAAAAAATGGTCGAAATGGGCCGTGTCGCGAGACTCATTATGCAAATACATGCGCGAAAAAGGCACGCATTTAAAAAGCTGAGTAATATTTCAAACAGGAGAGAGACAAATTTACGGAGCGGGTTTTTAAAATGAAAATAAACAACATCATCAAGAAGTTTGGTCGGTCGCTTGGAAGAAACAAGTTCCTTGAACTCGCGCAGCGGCCGAAAAGGTGTCTATTTTACATAAATTGAAAGGTGCGCGCATAAAAAGTCGGAGAAAACGGCTGGAAAAGGGATAAAATGATAGACGTTCGTTCGGAGGAGAGGAAACGGGTGGGCTAATCCATTAAGGCTGCATTCTTCCTGAGCGCAGGGAATGCTACGTTTTGCCCCTCGACACTGTGCGTAAAGGTATAATTTTAAACTTGTTGTGACGTCGAGTGGCACATAAACAGAGCCGGCTTTTAATAGTGGAGCAAAAGTTACTTTTCTAGGGCCGTCGGAGAGCAACTTGCGCTGCTGCTGGATTAATCCCTCGGGTTCTGCCTATTTTATGCAATTTGCGGCACCGCGGCAAGTGGTGCGCGTCGTTTTTCAAAGCAGAGCAACAATTTTCTTTTTCTTTTGCAAGTTAAATCCGAAATCTGACGCTTATTTGTTATTTTAATTTTGCCACGCATTTGTAGAAAATGTAAGTGAACAAATAATTATAAAAAAGCAGTACAATGTTTGAAATTGATGCAGGAGCGAATAATGAATTCGGTGACGTCACCACGAGTGCTTTAATAACCAGTGTGACCTTGGCAGTGGCAAAGATCCTCTTGCTCAGAGACCAAATGTGGATAAATTTGGATAAATTTAGTTTACAAGATGCGCAAAAGTAAGAAATGGAATTTTATTCACAGATTTTGAGACTATCAAATTTTGTTAGATATGTAAAATTCTATTTAACAATCAGGAGGTCAATTTTTCTACAGTAAAAAGTATTGCACGGTACAAGTACTTTGAATCTCAAACCAGATTTTATTTTTAATTGTCCACGATTCAATTCAAAACCTCCCTGCATTCTGTACAAAGTCCCAAATCAGGTGTTTCAGAATGACTTCATTAATCATCAAGCAAGAAGCACCGGTGCTGTTTCGTCTCGTTAAAACAAAGGGCCGGTTCTGCAAAATCCCTTCTCAACACAACGTCTATAATATCTCCGCCTCTGCAGACACTTCCAGGGAAAAACGTGACGATTTTCGAACAAAGCGCCTTCTCGACGCGCACACACTGAAAGGCGCTTATAAAATAACTTCATCAGCATTTCGCGCCTGTTTGTTTTCAGCAACCGTCAAAAAACCTCAAGCCAAGAACATGACGTGCTCTGCATGTGCTGTCCGAAAAAAGTAAAACCGACCAAGATCCTAAGATTCAGTCAAGCGGACGAAAACTCTCGCGCGATTCCCATGGAGCTCGCGAATTTCGGTGCGCATAAACTTCGTGTTTTTCCATCTCGAATTTTTTTGGCTCTGTAAACACAGGTCGAAACACACACTCACGTGCTGCAGCAGTGAGAGCCGAGAGAGAGAGGATCATCCAGGTATTTTATAAGACACCTGTTGATCACGCCCAACCGGCAACTCGCAGCATTATCATAAAGAGTAACAGCATTACTTTTGTGCTATGCGCGCGCTCGTCTAATGCCGACAAGGCTGGCAGGTATGTTTGAGCGCGCACCAGGTATACACGCTAAAACAACAAGACGGAATATACATGGGTGTTTATGGACGGCGAAAAGATGGTGACGAGAATGTACGTGTAGGTGCCAAAAGAACTCGCGACTTTTTCAGGACGCAAGTATAATTGAGCCTGATTAAAATGCAACTGTGAAATGATTCCAAGCAAAGGCAAATAAATACAAAATTATATTTACATGATTCTAGAGGACTGAAATTGATTGATTTTGTCACACACAAAAAATACTTAAGATCACCCAAGATAAAATTAAGGTTTTTTTTGCACATTCACAAACAAGTGAAATTTTCGGTCTAAATATTTTTCTCGAACAGTTTAAAAAAAAAAAACTTCTAAAATTCAGATCATATATTATTGAAGATTATGAAAGATCCTTCTGACCATTCATTTTTGTTTTTAAATTTAATGGCTCTTACAAATTCAGGAGAAGAATGTAAAAAAAAACTTTTCTACAAACTGTCAGGAATCTTGACTGAATTGTTAAAGAAATCAGATCCTTGTTTTTTTTAACCATCAAAAGTAAACTGAACCAGAGACAGAAGAGAAGAGTTATCAAAGAGACCTTCTAGCCGCGAACAGCAATTTTCCAACTGCGCCGCGCACCACACCCAACGGCTATTATTATAAATATAGCGAAAAAAACGCATATTACATTTTCATATTTGTATTGAATACGACGAAACATAGAAATCGCCTTTTACAAAGTGCTGTGGCGAAAATCGCGACTGCAATGTGCATTAAAACCGCATCAGCGGGAAGAGGGGGGGGGGGGGGAGAGATTAGGTCATTTTCATTCATCGAGCGTGAGGAATGTTAATTTAATTGCCGCTGTCACGCATACCTATGTTCAACTGCTGCATCAGAATCAAGGTTGCATTTTTTTCTACCGGCCACGCATCATCGGCATAATTTATTATTGTTGCCGTCAGCGAGTATAAGATGCAGAAAGACGATTCCGGGCATAGACAATTGCTGCGACTCCAAGGTTGCGGCCGACCTCAGTGCACATCCATATAATTTTATCATGCAACGTGCATGTGTCGCTTTTTCTGATTTATATATAAAAGCATCTCTGGTCGAATCGGCGCAGACCGGCCGGCCGGCGCGAGAGTTCATCGCGTTCGACGCGTTCCGAGAAAAGCAAAAACCGCACCATGTAAAAGGAAACCGGCCATAAAACGCAATAAATTTCGTAATTAACCACTAGACGCAAAGTAATCGACGCGCTGCTTCCGAAAATAATTGCTGCGGCAGCCAGCCATCCGAGGCGACTCGGATTTTTGCCACTTTTCAGCTGCTTTTGGTGCTGCGATTCGCTTCATACAGCCTTTCCCAGAAAAGAAACTTGCCGAACAAGCGGCACAGAGTAAATTTCCTTTCTCGCCGGGGCTCGCATTTCATTAAACCGGATTTGTTTTAGCGCCAAACGCTATGATTTTGCAGCTTATCAGAAAAATGAATAAAAAATTGCTGCATTTTTCAGGACAAGATAATTTAAAATGTTTCCCTCCTTACACATTTTACATACATACAACAGTTCAAAATAAAATTTACATTTTGACTTAAATCAAATTAATTTTATGAATGAGCTGAATTAAATTTAA